CCCGCGACCCGCCAAACCGCCTTCACACGCACCATAGAGACGAGGCTCCCACGCCCGCTCCCCCCGCACCATAGAGACAGTTCATTCCAAACAGTCCTCCCGTGACCGTGGGGACGCGGTGTCCCGCACCTGTGCACACCCCCTGTGAGTCACCGGGGCGGGCACGTCCCAGACTGTCCGCTCTTGGGCTGGGAGGGGGGCTAGAAACTTCATCATCCCGCAACAAAGATGGCGGCCGCCAGTCCGGCCTTCCCTTGCCCCTCACAAAGATGGCTCCCAGACAGTGCAGGGCTGCCATGTCGGTGAGGGCAAGATTAGGTCATGCGCGGCCGCCATTTTTGTGAGGGGCAAGCCCGCCTTGACAGGGTGCTTCCCGAGCCTGTGGCGGCCGCCATGTTTGTGAGGGGCACCGCCTTCCGCGTCGGAGGGGCTGACGCTGAGGGCTGGTCCCGCGAGATGCTGCGGGGCGGAGCCTGAGTGCCACGTCGGGGCGAGCCCGAGGTAGCGGATCCCAGGCACGGTGAGCAACCCCCAGGGCACAAAGACGGGCAGGGGCAGAGGGGCCAGGTCCCCCCGGGGCATAGAGCAGCACGGGTAGCGCCCCACAGGGGCACGCGGCGGTAGATGGCCGGGCCCATAGAGACGAGCGGGAGCTAGAGGGGCCGCCCGGCGCTGGAGGAGCGCCGCGGAGCCCTTCTGCGGGCCATAGGGACAGAACGAAGGCTGGCCAGAGCGGCAGCTCATGGCCTCCTTCCCCGTGGCCACAGAGACGAGGGGCGGTGCGTGGAGCGCGAGGCTAGAAGGGCCCTGGGTGCGGGGACCATAGAAACCTCTGAGTGGCGAGGGCCGGAAGGGCCAGCCGGATGTGAGGACGTGGGCAAGAGGAGACGGGCGCCCCCAGCGACGCTCTAGCTGCTCTCCCGTCCGTCTCTATGACCCAGCCCATGGTGCCGCTTTCCGCTTTCGCTGCGACCCGCAGAACCACGTGACCCTCAGCGACCGCCTCCGCAGGCACCACTCTAGGCCCCTCCTTCCCACTCTATGTTGCATCCTGCCGCGCCGCGCCCCCCCCCCAATTGAGTCTGTAGGGTTGTGTCTCCGTTGCCTCCCTGGAGCTGGGCCGGGGGTGTCTGGACCCCCTTCCTTGCCCCTAGGATCCTGCTCTACCTCCCCTCGGATCTTTCCCCATCCCTTCGTCCCCAGCCTGTGGCCCTGTACTGACCCCCTCCCTCTTCGGGACGTGCAGGGGGCAGCATGGGCCTGACAGCGAGGGGCATCTTCCCCCTCCCTCTTTCCAGCAGCGGCAGTACAATGGCAGCGCCTCGCCTAGCAAGGAGCCGAACAGGACTCTGCAGCCCACTCACCGTCATGGTGGCCTGCGTGGTGTTGATACCGACCGCCTCCCAGCACGAGGACTTCCATGGCCACTCACACGAGGGCTTACACCACGGGCACAGCCATGCTGCCCACGGCCACTCGCATGAGGGCCATGGCCATGGCCACTCGCACAAGCACCTGGACCATGGCCACAGCCACGCCGACCACGGCCGCTCGCATGAAGACTTCTACCACGGGCACAGCCACGCTCACGCGCACGAGGACTTCCATGACCATGGCCATGTGCACGAGGACTTCCATGACCATGGCCACGTGCACGAGGACTTCCATGGCCATGGCCACGCGCACGAGGACTTCCATGGCCATAGCCATGCTCACCATGGCCATTCGCACAATGACCTGCACCATGGCCATGATCACTTGCACGTTGACATCCACCTGGGTCATGCCCACGAGGGTCTCCATGGCCCTGGGCAGGCTGATGCTAGGCACCCCGCAGGGGACTCCCCCAGCCAGCAGCTGCCACAGGAGCGGCTGGACCCAGTCCAGTTGTGGACCCATGTAAGTTTCCGCATAGCATGATGGAGGCATCATGAGCTGCACACCAGGGCTCCCTTGGCTGCCTGACTATGTCTCTCCTCTCCTTCACTCTCCAGGCCGTGGGTGCCACGCTGCTGATCAGCGCTGCCCCTTACTTCATTCTCTTCCTCATTCCTGTGGAGTCCAACACGTCCCAGCACCAGGCCCTGCTCAAGCTGCTGCTCAGCTTTGCCTCAGGAGGGCTCCTGGGAGATGCCTTCCTGCACCTCATCCCCCACGCCCTGGGTGAGTCCCAGGCTGGCTCGGAGGGGGCAGGGGCTGTGCCCCTGCCTTCATCCCTGACCTCTCTGGCCTCTTCCCTCCCCAGTGCCCCATTCCCACCACGCAGAGGGCAGGAACACCCACTCCCACCCACAGGTGCCTGGACATGGACATTCCCACCAAGGTAAAGGTGGGGGTGAGCAGGGGAGGGGGGAGCATGTTGGGTACAGGGTGGCTAAGCTGCAGCCACACCCTGACCCCCTGCCCTGGTCCTGCCACCCCCAGGGCCAGAGCATGAGCAGATGATGTCAGTGGGGATCTGGGTGCTGGCCGGGATTGTTGCCTTCCTGGTGGTGGAGAAATTTGTGCGACACGTGAAGGGGGGACACGGACATGGGCACAGCCACAATGGGCAAAGCCACGGTACGTGCAGTCTAGGAACACCCCTCTTCTTCCTGGGCCCCTACAGTCTCCCTCCAGCCACATCCCTGGTCCCTGCTGGGGCTCAGGGAATTTCATTAGGCCCCGCCATCGCAGCCTGTGAGGCAGAGCCTTCATCTCCCTGCTAGCAAGGGCTGGGGAGCTCCTGTCCCCAGCGGGTAGCTCTCAGAGGGGTCACACACAATCCCTGAGGAGGGGGAGGGGGCTCCTGAGGGGATGGGGCCGGGGGGTGGTGCGGGGGTCCCTGTAACCTTGTGTACATGATCTCAAGCCCCACTGTCTCTCCATAGTCTCCAAGGCAAAGAGCAGCTCCGGAGAGGAGGATGAGGGGCCCCGGGTCGAAGGGCTGCGGGAGAGGAAGGCCGGCCGGAGTGGTGTCCCCGTCGTGGCAGTGCAGAGGAAGAGAGGCCAGGAGCGCGAGCTGGGGACCCTGGAGTCCAGTGAGAGAGGGGGCAAGGGGGCTGGGATTTAGGTCGGGGCTAGAGGGGGGATGCACAGCATAGGGAGTCCTTCGCTCTCACTGGCCCCCGCCCCTGTCCCCCACTGCAGCGATGCGGGTGTCAGGCTACCTGAACCTGGCAGCCGACCTGGCGCACAACTTCACAGACGGGCTGGCCATCGGGGCCTCCTTCCTGGCAGGCACCAGCGTGGGGGCTGTGACCACGCTCACCGTTCTGCTGCACGAGGTGCCCCATGAGGTCGGGGACTTCGCCATCCTCGTTCAGTCTGGCTGCAGCAAGCGCAAGGTACCATGGACCCACCCCCTTCCCCTGGGAGTCACCCTCCAGGACCTCTGTCCATCAGGGGGCATCCTGATGTCCACCCATGTCTGGAAACCCCCAGTTTCCCTGGGGTACCCCCCACCCCAGGACCCCTTTAATCCCCCAGAAGTTACCTCCCAGTACTTCTCCCAACCTCCCATATCCCCCAGGAGGCCCCCCCCATTTCCAAGGCCACCTTCCCCATGCCCCCAGGATCCCCCCCCATTTCCCAAGGGTCACCCACCAGCACTCCTCCCAGCTCTAAAACCACCCAGTTCCTCTAGGGGTCACTCCCCAGTGCTCCCCACATGCTCTGAAGGCCCTCCCGCATCTCCCAGGCATCACCCCCAGCACCTCTCTCATCTCACAAGACCTCTGAAGTTCCCAAGAGTCACACCCCCAACACCTGTGGTACCCCCGAGGGTTACTTCCCAATGCCGCCTCATGCTTCCAGGATCACCTATCCCCAAGGGGGCATCCCCCATTCCTCCCCCCATGCCCTCCCCACTTCCTGGGCATCATCCCCCCGTGCCCTCTGAATTCTCCCAGGACTTTCCCCAGCACCCCTCCCAACCCCAACGCCCCCAATTCCCTGGGGGACATCCCCAACACCATTTCCAACCCTAGGACCCCCAGCCCCACGGGTCATGCCCTGAGGACCTTCCTATTTCCCAGGGGTCATCCCCAGGATCCTCCATTCCTATCCACCTGTTCCTTTCTCCCCTGTAACTCCCCCCACCCCCAATGGATCCCTGCCATTCT